CAAGTTGAATTTCAACTGATCGGCCGCGATATTCATGCATCTCAACCACTCTAAGATGTTGGACACTGTACTGTACAACATTCTCGGACTTTTTGCTGGTCCCTAACATTGTTTTGGAGCGGGTATCTCGTCTGCAGAAAACAAAATCATGCTCCGGTTACCAAACACCAGCATGAACAACCAGATCAATTCAATGGTACCACAAATTCATAAGTACAATATTATATGCAGAGCAGATATATCAAAATATCAAAGAATAACTAGAATGAAGAAAGTTGTCAAATGATGATATTATCATTCTACCTTTATTACAAACTTCTCTAGGTTTGGTGTTGCCCTAAAGAACGAAGTCAGTCCAGACATGCTCTCTTCTTTCAATAAATAAAGTACTACAACTAATTGCTTCAGTGCAGGTAGCTCCGGCATTTTCCTTTCATACTGGGATTACAAGGCAAAAATTGGTTAAAGGAAAAAGATAATAAAAGATGACTCAAAAGTCAACACGACAGTAAAACCAGGAAAATTTACTCCAATAATAATTAACACAAATGAGCAAGAGCCATACCTCCCTAGTATCCTCAGGATTCATAAACAAAGAAAGCGCCTCCAGTTTGAAAAAGCAGCACCAAAGCCGGCCAACAAAATCCTCAACAGGGAAATTAAAAGTACGGATCTCCACATGAACGAGCTGAGGGACATTCCTAAGGATCATTGCTCTTGGTCTATCAATCTTAAGAGAGGTAAGATTGACAGTGCTTATAATAAGAGATTTCAAGGGACAAAAACCAATATCCAGGTTTCGCAACGCGAGAGATGGACCACAAACGTTCAAAGTTTGTAATTCACGAGATGCACACACCACCAAACTTTCAAGGAATTTGCAGTTGTGCATAAAGAATTCGAGATTTTCCCCGGAAACAAAGACACGTTTCAAAATCAATATTTTAAGAGAATTCAACTTTTTTTGTGCAACAAAGGCAGAAGGAAAAACATTACGCTCAGCGGTGGGATAAGAACCAGGGGGGGCATGGGGTGACAGGTTCACTTCCAGCCAGCCTTTGAACATTTCGGTCAAAGGCATACCAAAGCCACTCATCCAAATCTGCCTGATACGAATTATCCAAATCACAGTAAATTCTAAACTTATTCAACAACATTGTCTGATGGGATTCCAACACCTTATTTACCCAGTTCACAAACTTAGGCCTTTCCTCGAAAGCTCTTGCAGCTGCGAAATTCCATAATTTATTTAATGCATTAAAATCAAGTTCAGGAACATAAGTCCACGCGTGTTTCCATCTCTTTGACAGAGTACTTGTTCTGCTAGCTTCTTTGAATGTTAGAAATGATGAGACACAAGAAAGCATTCCATCCGGAAGCTGACTAATCCGATCTTCGGGTACATGTTGCTTAGTTGTACCCGGTTTAAGATGTGCGACCTAGGAAATAAATATAAAGACAAGTAAACAAATTGAACACGAGACATAGGAATGGAATTCATCACAGATACACCGAGGCAGAGCAACAAATTCATCGCATCCAACAATTTCAGTCCCCAGATTTTGATCTTTTCTAGAAGAACAACAAAAGACCATGAAATGAAAAACCTCCAAATTGAATAAAAAATGTTGTTAGGTAAACCTGGATTTTAAACTGAGTCAGGAAAAGCAATTAGACAATGTAATATCAACACGCTCAGTTAAAAAGATTGAAACTTTATGATTGACTGTCTCGAGTTGAAACAGAAACAAGTAAATCAATTAGAAAAAGGGGGAGGAAATCAGAGTAACCAAACTCGAATTAGGATTAGTCTAGGAAGTGTGTTCGCAAACTTCATCGTAATTGAGATGTTTTTGGGTTAATGTCAAGATCAGATGTTTATTCAAACCCGGGATTACGTAGGTATGCTCAATTACCTCCCCAATAACGTTGTGATCTTTATTCATCCTTCGATCGATGGCTTTTAGAACAGAACTATTTGAACCGACCAACGACCGGCAACCCAATTATTCATTCCCTCGCAGAGGACCGTAGACAACTGACTCATTCAATCAAACAGGCGGCGGCCAACAACTACTTTTTCAAGGCAAGCGATCAATGGGGAAGCAACTTAAAATATGAATTCAAAGGGAACTCTATTCGATCAGATATTACTGGCGAAATAAATGATAGTAAAGCTTTACCGGCTCCCTCCATTCATTAGATTTTAGATTACTTTTGGGATTTGTCATGAATTTTTACAAAGAAACAAAGGTTTTAAAATTTGAAGAGAGAAATTGGTAAAATATAAGCACAGACGAAGAGTGAAAATGGGGAATAAAACGACAGCATGCAATCAAACGGGATTAAAAGAGAGATTATAAATGTTATCCTTTTTTTTAATTGTGGTGTGATTTTATATCTGATGTATAATGAAAACATGAATTTCTTCCATAATAGTTATATGAGTAATTATTTTATTTGATTTGGAAGGATTTTTTTTTTTTTTTTTTGGGACTGAATCATTATTAAGCGTGGGTGAGTGATTACACACTAAATATAAGTTTGGGAAAGATAATACAGTAAAACCTCTCTAAATTAATAAGCTTGTGCCCCCCAAAATTTATTAATTTATCGAGTTATTAATTTATCAATAAGTTAATAATTATTAATTTAAAGAGTTTTTCAATCCTAATAGGGGATAATCTTTGCCAAAAAGAAGAAAAAAGTCGATTATATATATGGACTTCGAACTTTATTAATACGGTATTTGGGTTCTCTTTGTGTGGTTGTAAATTTTGAATCTCCAGAAAAGAAACACTAAAGAAAACAACAATAACTCTTCATAATATTTTGTTGCAGTATGACAAACTGACACCGGAACTTTTGAATGCAATGAAAAAGATCAAAGATGATATCTCCATAAATATAAATTTTAAGAAAAAAACAAATTAAGATCAATAGATTTATATTTTACTAGAAATTATTAATTTTTTTGTTTAGGTAATTGTTAATTTATGAAAATGTAGGGACCTATATTTACACATGGGATTGCTGAAAATTTATTATCTTATAAATTAATCGAGTTTTTTCATTTTTCGAACTAGTCCCGAGTTGGGACCAACAAAAAATATTATTTAATAGAGGTTATAAATTTATAGAGGATTAATTTAGAGAGGTTTTAATGTATGGGTTCCATAATTTATGCGATATCCTTTTTTTCTTTTTTTTTTTTTCTAAATAGTGTAATTGCATGATAAGGATTCCAAAAAAATTTCATAATTTTTGAGATACTAATAATCTATTAGCTAAAAGAGTTGGGGCCTTGGGGGATAATGTATGCTATTTTTTTTAAATAGTGTAATTGCATGATAATGATTCCAAGTATATTTCATAATTTCCAAGATGCTATTCATGTACTTCCCCTGTCCCAAAATTATTGTTCAGTTTGAGATTCCACTTTTAGTACAATTTGAACTAGAAATGAAAACTCAAACTAGACAAATAATTATGGGACAGAGGGAGTATTAACTAAAAACGTTTTGGCAGGATAATTCATGCGATTTTTTTTAAATAATGTAATAATTGTATAATAATGATTCCAAATACATTCCATAATTTCTGAGATCATGTTAATGTATTAGCAAAAATTTTTTTGCGGGAAATGGGTGCATAAATTTACGACACTTAGTAAATTTTGTACAAAATTTATTTTGTTCTAATATAAGGATTTATTTTCCTATTTTGGGGTAGAAGAATATTCGTGGTAGTCAAGATTAAGAACATCAACCTTATTAGAAGTGGGTTGGGGTAGACATTTTTGGAGGCTGCTAATTGGTAGGTGCGGCTCTCCCATTAGGCAAAATAGGGCATTGTTTAGGGCCCCAGCATTGCGAGGGCTCCATATATATATTGATAAAAAATTTAGTGTTAATAAATATCGACTAATTATTAAAAAATAAAGAGATTTATATTGACTATTTAACCTTCATATATACATTTCCTTTAAAAAAATTGATAGAAATGTATAGTTTGAAAAATTAAAATCACTTGATAATAGAAACTTAAAAAACAGTTGTCTCAAACAATCAAAACTCCTTAAAATACAATGATAGTTTAAATATTGACGGTTTAGATTTATAATAATAATCTAATTGGCGTACTTAATTATATTAAAATATTTAATTCTTTTTCAAAAACTTATATTACTTATAGGATAATGTTAACTATTCTTGCAACAGTAACTTTAGTAGAAAGAAGTTTTTCATAGAAAAAGATTAGTGGAGGAGATAGATCATGAAAAATTTCATAGAAAAATTTGTGATGAAAAAGTTAGAAAAATAAACTTAATATAAATAATATTTTAAAAAAATACTAGAAAGATAAACTTAATATGAATACTATTTGGCAAAAATTTTCCATCTCAGCATGCTATAAGTTCACGGGTTTATAGTTGCCGGTCCTAAGCACGAAAAGAAGGAAAAAGATTATTTTTGTTCCCCTACTTTTCAAGTTTATTTGTTATCAAAAGACCCAATTTTAGAACTCGTCTTAGGTCCCTAAACATGTTGAGCTGCCCTGCTAATTGGTTTGATTGAAGCCATCTCCATCATAGTTCAGAATTGTACAATGCATTGTCTGATTTTCTGCTAACAAAACTATAACGAAAGTTTCCCCTAAGTTTCTACATCTATCTTTTTTTTTTTTTTTTTTTAACAAGAATCTAGATGGAATTTGTGGACAAATTTTCTTCTAGAACCTGAACCGATGGTAGTAGAGAGTTTTATTTGTAAAGATCGATAGTTTGATGAATTATTGATTTTTATCAATAGACATCCTCCCGTCCTAATTATAAGATACAAAATTTGATTTAAAAATTTGTGTCTTAAAATTAAGACGGGATGGAGTAGATGGGAAGACTATTGTTTTAGTCTCAGCCCTTGGCCTTCATTGACAATTTTCTCTCAAGTGAGCTTTGAATCAATATAAGGGCGCGCATTCGGACATTCCTCGAGTTTCAATCAACGTGGTGCGACATCCAGATTCGCGGCACTGATAAGATCGCCGCCTGAATTTAACGATGATGATTTACTGAAACATCTGGATGGAGAATCTGATGATGATTCTTGAACTCCTGTTTCTGGCATCATCATTCTATGAATATTTTCCAGCTCCCTGACCACATCCAATATTGATGGCCTCGTATCCGGTTTGTCCGCGCAACATTTGAGCCCCAACCCAATAAATCTCTCCACACATTCACAAGGATAAGATCCCATCCTTCTGTCTACGACGGAGTACATTTTGCCCGAATGTTGCTCTAATTTTACCTGTAGAAATTAAAATGAGTGGAAACCTTTTCTTTCTCAATTCCATTTTCCGGAAACATGAGGGCAATAAATACCTCGCGGACAATGTTCTTCCCTTGCATTATGGGTTGCTTTCCGGTTAGTAGCTCCAGAAATACGATTCCTATGCTGTAAACATCGCTCTTGTCTGTCAGCTGATAAGTCATCAAGTATTCTGGATCAAGGTAACCCTGCACATATATGTACGTTTTCCAGTTCTCAAAATGTTGCAGTTTTGAGAAACGATAAAGAGGAAATGATTGACGTGGACTCACAGGGGTTCCCTTAACAATTGTTGATACGTGCTGTGGCGACAGGCCTTCGGCATCCAGCTGAGGCGCGAGCCGTGAAATTCCAAAGTCGGCAACTTTAGCAGTGAGGTTAGAATCAAGAAGAATGTTGCTGGCTTTGATATCTCTGTGGAATATGGGTGGATTTGCTTCAGTGTGAAGGTAGAGGATTCCCTTTGCTGCCTCCAGCGCTATACGCAATCTTGCTGCGAAATCCAATGACTCCCCAGATTTTGCTGTTATAATTAGAAAGGCACCACTTAATTTGTAGTTTGCATATTCACATTCACCTACTCCCTTTTCTTTGTCCCAAAAAACAATAGTCCTCTTTATTGAACCAAAATAGTACCATAATGTGGACTATTTTACTGGGACAAATTAGGATGTATCCCCAACTTACCAAATCAGTGGAAAACATCAAACAAGGAAAACAAAGGTCAATTACCAGAAAGCCAGTCCTGTAATGTTCCATTTGGCATGAACTCGTAAACCAGCATCTGGAAGTACGAGGAAACATAATTTGTTTTTCAAAAGATTAGGAACAATTGAAATGAGTGAACAAGATCAACAAAAAAAAAAAAAAGAGAAAAAAGTACTAATATATACAAAAGAAATGAGCAGATCAGATGCTAAAAAGAGTCTCCAATTTGTATACATAGAGAGAGGCTAACCTGCTCATCTTCTTCATCGCAGTATCCCACGAGGGAAACAAGGTTCCGGTGATGCAACCTGGATAGCAATTCAATCTCTGTTAAGAATTCCTTCTTCCCCTGCAAAGATCCTTCTCTGCCACGCTTAATCGCGACAATCGTCTTATCAGGTAGGCTTCCTTTGTAAACTTTTCCATAACCTCCCTGGCCGACTTGAGCTGATTCGCTGAAATCATTAGTCGCTAACGCGAGCTCTTCAAAAGTGAAGCTCTTCACATCTTCGGTTTTTATCGAAAGCGTAGAGCCTGAAACATTGGAAGATCAGAACTATTTGCACACACTCAATTGGAAGTGAACATCAGCTACAGGAATAACTTACATTGCCGTTTCCTTGACCGTTCCATACGAAGAAGTGTAGCCCGTTTCCTCATAATTAAAGCTGTCGCGGTTGCTGAGATCACTCCGGTAATAAAAGCCATAGAGAGTATAATCGCAACTAAGATGCCCTTGTTCTTGCTTTTACCAGAAGAATCAGAATTCACTAAACAGAGGAAAAGTATCAGTCAAATAATATGGGGATTACTAGACAAACACCTATATACTGATTAGTTCTTGATACAAGAAATGCAGCAAATCGAAGGAAGAATTTTTCAAGGAAAATTCCATGTAATTAGACGTGTGCTAAGAAATCAGAACGGCCTCAAAACAAACTGCTGTCAACTTATCAAAAAAGTCAATATGATAAAATGTCATGAATACTAATAACAGCTTCTTCTTCTTCTTTTTTCCTTTTTTTTTTTGTGTGTGCGTGTAAGAAGAATTAGAGTTGAAATGCTCACCGTAAGTATACGGTCCAACCAGTGTGAAGTTGAGAAGTTCATAAGGTCCAAACAATTCATTACCAGGGAAGCCCCAAGATGTAAATTTGTCCCTAATCGAAAGAACCTCACTCCTGTTAAAAGTGCCCAAATGATCATCACTAGGCAAAGGAAACAATTTCAAGTACATCCTCAAGCGATGCCCTTCCCAGAGAAATGAGTCAATGAAGACTTGGAAAACCGTAAGATTGAGAGAAGTAGCCAGATACGACTCAAATGTAGTCTCGTATGGAGGGAAATCAGATAAGCTAGGACTCATAAGTCGATATCCAATCCTAAGGGGAGATGCACAGAAACAAGGGCTAGGTGATGCCGGCGCATATTCAAAATAATTGCCTGTAGGACACGCTTGAAGAGGACAAACCCTGGTTGATGAATTTGTTTTTGAATCGCGCCAAATGTGGTTTACTTTGGCTTTAGATTCAGGATCGCAGAACAACTTAATATTCCTTATGTTTGCATTTCTGCAAACAGGATTGCCTTGCAACCTGGAAAGCAGATTGAGAAGGATGAGTGCAGAGAAGAAAAGATAAAATGGACTACGAAACAAAAGTATTTTTGCACATATTGATCTGTCTACTAGGTGAAACAACATCGTAGACTCAGATACTTTTCTATAGAATCTGATATTTTTCCGGCAAATGGCATCAGCAAGATAAACAAAAATATGAGAATATGAGGAGTGTACCTTATTGTTACGTTCGTGGGAGGATCAAGGTATCCGATGACATTTGAGAGGGAGTTATTCGCAAGGTTTCTGAACAAAGGAAATATCACACTTTTCATTCAAATGAAATTTGAAATCAAAATTTAAGATTCATAACAAAGTTTCCAGTTCGTTCCTTACATGGAAAATGTGGCAGAAGAGCTGAAGGATTTGTCTTGCCACAGATCCACATTAACGGAACCAGTCAGGAAATTATTATCAAGTGACCTGTAATAAAATAAAATTATACTACGAATTGATGATGTCCTCTTAACCAACAGAGATTAAACTGATCTATAGAATCATGAAGCTTTTATCCCATAATGTGATTCACAGGATCGAGCAAACAGACTCACAGTTTCTGGAGAATAGGAAGGCTTGAAAAACTTGCGGGTATGGATCCACTAAATTTATTATGTGACAGAACACTGCACAAACACATTCCATTAGCAGTATATATAAATGTAAAAGATGAACTCAAAATGTGAGGGATTATCCATTCTGTGATCAACATAGCATCATCATTCATTTTACAAACACATGTACGAGTAAAAAGGTTCGGAAGAAAATGGAAATTGAACTTGTAACGATGCATACATACATTGTAGTTATATTGTTGGAAAGGATATTCGATATGGTTCCCGAGAGCTGGTTCAAGCTAAGGTCTCTGCAAATGCAGGGAAACACTCAGATGTGAAAGGATGACGGAGAATATCCACACATTACATGAAACGAATCATTAAAAAACATCAACATCTGCAATTCGGCATTGAGAAAGTTCGAGAGTTCAGACTAAATAAGTACTATTTGAGTACTTACATGTACTGAAGCTTTCGCATTCTTAGATCAGGAAACGGTCCTTTCAAGCTACAATTTCTTAGACTTCTGTACATCAAAAGAGAAACTATAATTACTGCTAATAAGATACAGGGGAAATGGCTTTGCGCTCCATAAATCGGCAAAATGAGAAATGACTCTGGAACACAATAAACCAACGGAAACTCACTTCAAATATGAAAAGAAGTACTCCCTCCGTCCCATAATTATTGTCCACTTTGCCCAACAAATTTTGTCTCAAAATTATTGTCCAATTTGACTTTTTTATGGATTAAATTACACATTTATCCTTAGTAAAATACATTATCCATAAAATCTTAGTGGTTAAACAATTACTTATGTAGGGGTATATTTTAAGATAAAATAAGTTAAATTTGACCAAAAATAAAATCTTTTATTTTAATAAAACTGGACAATAATTATGGGACGGAGGGAGTACAATAAATAGATCAAGGTCACCTGCTGGAGTGAACCAACTTTACTAAACATTAGCAACTTACAATTTTACTAAGCTCGACAGATTTCCATAAGAAGCCGGAATTTCAGCGCCATTGAAATTGTTGTTATCAAGTTGGCTGTCAAATCAAAACACAACATATACCAACACAATTTTTCACCTTTTTCAAACTGGCAGCTCACATCCAGAAACAGATTAGTATAGAATTCCAAGCAAATATAAATTCCCTTGTGTTTTTGCGTGAAAACAGAAATATATATATATATATATATATATATATATATATATATATATATCTCAATGCTCCGCAATACAATATAACTTACAGTATTTTTAGCGTTGTAAGATTGGAAAACTCTGATGGAAGATTCCCCGAAAAGTTATTATTATCGAAAAGCCTGTTTAATTTAAACAAGCCAAAAAAAGAAAAAAAGAAAAAAAAAATCAGACTGAAAACTTTGGCAGACAGATTCACCTTTAAGCCCTGAGGAATAACTCACAAGTGATGCACTGTAGACAATTTAGAGAGCTCGGGGGGTAATTGACCACTGAGCGAGTTATTATTGAAATGACTGCAGAAATCAGTTATTGTGCAGATTAGAAATAACATAGATCCGAAACCAGGATTTGCTGCCTAATTAATCAAGTCCAAAGCAGCCAAGAGGACTAACATGTGTCTTATACTGTTCAAGTTGGAAAATGACTTTGGTATTGGTCCAGATATCTGGTTTTCGCATATCTGAAACCTATTCAGATTTGGTAGATAACCAAGCTCATCCGGCAATGAACCCGACAATCTATTTCCATTCAAGACCCTGCAGATCGATTCATAATGGTTAACTCCATGAAATAGGTAAAACCTATGTTACCCGGACTCTTCTATTTGGGGAGAATACCCTGTCGTGTCGTGTCGACACTGGTATGAGTATGAGTGTCCGGTGTGGCATTTTAGCCTAAAATGTCCTAGATTTTTAAAATATTGACGAGTCGGACACTCAGATCCCCACACCAGATACGACACCTCTATCCGAGTCCAGGTAACATAGGGTAAAACAACAAATAAAATTGTCCAGAAAGCTCCAAAATCCAATAGTAAAGCATATATAATCTGGACTTACAGAATTTGTAGTGATTTGATATTTCCAATCTCCTTAGGTATACTCCCAGTCAGTTCATTCCACATAAAGTTTCTTTCCAAATCAATGCATGAGTTAGAAAAGTTCAATGAAGTCCACAAAACGCAAAGCAGAAAATCAGGAATAATTTAACACTCACAATATGTGGAGTTGAGACAATAGACCAAGCTCGGGGGCCAAAGTTCCCGACAGATTCAAATTCATTAGCAGCCTGCGGTTTCCATGCATTGACGTTAACAAGATCAATCAATATATAAACGCTCGGAAATTAAGAATTTGTATGTAAATTTATGATTACAGTTCCATGACATGGAAATAGCCATCAGAACCAAGTTCGCCGAAACAGATAACGCCAGTCCAGTTCATTAAGCATGGATCTCCTCCATTCTTCCAGCCCTTGAGATTCTTGTGATCATCGATTAAACTATTGGCTACACCTTCCAATGCTGAGACTGCAAATAACAGCAAAAAGATTACTACAAAAAAAAAAAAAAAAACCCGGGAAAATGTTGTTACAGTGATGGAATCTAGAGCCGATGACTAAAACATAATTCATCTTCCATTTTCTGTTGTTGCTTTCATTATAATTTTCCTTTTCTAAAAAGCTTGTAAAGACCATCAAACATATATAACCTCATATCTTTTTCTGTTTTTGATTTATGAATGTGAAAAAGCTCAAAATGAAATTACTGTCCATGCAGAATGTAAACCACATATAATAGCTTCTAAAATTTCAATAAGGCTTTAAAAGAAATAAATGGGTCTGACAAAAGGGTCATTATATGATCCGAATTTCACCATAAACCGAACGGCTCATGCAATCAAAAGAAATGAGGGCATTTTTGTTTGTTATACCTTCAGAGGGATGCGTTTGATGTGGCTCAAAAGCTGGAACTGGGAGGAGAACAAGGCAGCAGCAGAGGAAACAGAGAACATACAAACATGGTTTCCGTTTCCAGCCCGCAAACATCTCTTGTAAGATTCTTGAATTGAATTAAATGAATAATGTTGATGATTTCCTAGTAAATTATTTCCTCACAGTCAGATTCAACCCGAAATCAAAAGAAAAAAAAAAGAAAAAAGAAAAAAAGCAAACAAATTAAGATGTACCAAAAAGAGGAAGGAAATATAATATAGTGTCACAGTGTCACCGACTTACCGGAGTATTGATTATTCCATGCTATAAAAGACTGAAAAAGTAGAAATTTTTGTGGCACAAGAACAGCAACTGAAACTTTTAGTAAACATGGTAAGCAGAAATCAAAATATTGTTAATTTAACATCATGGAATTTCATATCATAAATTAAGGAGGAAAGACTTTTTACACCATTACAAAGATAACGATTGCAGAAAAAAAAAAGAAAAAAAATGAACGCGGGAACGTTGGAACCTGTCAACGTTCAAACTAAACTTAGAGCACAGTTAATAAACATCCAAATTTCAACAGCAATTTTTTTTTTTAAAAAAGAAAAAAAACTGTATGAAAATATATGTGTTGGCGACGGATCTATAAGAAAAAAATGGGATTTGCTTCCAGAAGAGGACCAAACCTGCCCTGCCAAAACACTAAAAAAGAGTAAATTAATATATATTCATTAAACTTGGAGGCGAATCATCTGTACATATAATCCTTAAGTGAAAGGACCTAATTAACTACCCGTTTTTCGGAGATTAACATTCAGGAGTTTTGAGGGTTTTTTTTGTTTTGTTTTTTCTTTCCTTTTCTCTTTTTTTTTTTTTCGGGTGTGGGTTCTAATTAAAGTTCAATTTTTAATGAACAATATCATGACTGAAAACTAACTACGAAAAAACATCATCAAATGAATTGTGTACATTATATGCTTGTATCAATGAAATTGGAAATATACTCGTCTTGCCGTTAAATCAATGAATAATACCCTGCCTTCACTTTCATTGTCCATAAGTTTCCACTTTCAAATAAATACTTCCCAAGGTTATAGTTTTCGCCATAATCCCATCCATTTTTATTAGCTTGACTAATTAGACGACGAAGACAGCTTGAGCTTTCACTAATTTATAAGTGATTGACCCGTGTGCATGTAATTATGGCTGTTTTGTTTTGGCTATCTCCGAGAAATTTTGTTTTGGCCAAGTAAACGTTATTGATTTTTCAAACATATACTAAAAAGAACACATATCTGAAACTCAATATGGACTATTTTTAATACATAAGGAATCATGCAGGCTCATTTCAAAATTTTAAAAATTTGATTAAAAAATAGTAGGGCGAACTACATTTAACCCCCCGAATCTGTCCAATCTACCGTACAATCCTCCAAGTTTTGGCTATACTACATATACCCTCTAGACTCATAGTCAACTTACGAAATCCCCCTTAATATGCTAACATCATCATTAATTTCGTATAAACGGTCAAAATTATCTTCCAATCCATATTTTTAAAATTATAAAATTTAATTTTTTTTTAAAAATATATGGTAAATGAAGGTAAAAAATGTACTCCGCTTTAATTATTTTTTATTAATGCATTTAAAGGATAAATTTTTGAAATTAACTATATCATGTCTTTTGAAATAAAATAATTTCATTAAGTAACTTTTTTTTTGAAGTATAATAAACTGATACTATTAATCATCGTTTTATTTTTACTCCATCCAACCTAAAAATATTGTCATGTTTGAATTTACATTTTTAGCACAAATTGAATCAAAAGTGAAATCCAAACTTGGATAATAATTTTAAGACAGAGGAAATATTCATTAACTTATGTTATAATTAAATGTGAAATTGAAAATTTAAGTCATTTTTATTTTTAATGCTCAAAAAACAAAGAAGAAAAAAGTAAAACAAAAGAAGAAAATATTTTAGTCATTTTAACTTTTAACCCCGGTTCAGGGGTATATAGTGGTATTACCAAAATTCAGGGAGTTTATGATAGATCGGGCCAAATCTCGGGGGTAAAATGTACTTCGCCCAAAATAGTAAAAGCTATTTGATTTAGACAAAAAAAAAAAAAAAATCTGCTCCTGTAACCGCAACATAAAAGCATAAAAATGTGCGAACCCCTGGACCTGGAAGAGAATAATTATTTGGATTAATTCGAAAGAATCCCTTGTGATATTCCAAACTACATGATAATCCCATCGTGCTATACAAATATCAAAGAAACCCACTCTTGCTTACTCCAAAGTTAGTAACGTCAAAATTGTGTAGTTTAACTAACGGTGAGTGGTTAAATCACCAATACTTCATACAAAATGAAAAATATTAACCTGTACATTCAATTAAATTCGCTCTCACTAGGGAAAAGAAAAACGAAACTCTCTTCGTAAAGCGACGAAAAGCCATGTAGGAAACTTCCAAATGCAAGATCCATTTGATGGAGCGATAATGGAGACATGGGCAAAATCTAACAAAAAGACTCCCGATTAGGCTTTTGATTCCATTGCGTCAATTCAACCACTTGCAAAAGTAAAATTAACTCTAAGTAGGGCTGGCAAATGAGTCACCCATTTGGGTTTTGGGTTGGGTCAAGGGATGAGTTGCATTAATTGCTTTATGACCGAACCCAACCCATTTAAGATGTATAATATAAATGAGTTGGATTGACTTAGACTTATTTTAAATGATTCATGACCCAACTTGACTCATTTTTATATGGGTCAATATGGGTTGGGTCGATATGAGTCATTTTAAACAACCCATGTGGGTCATTGAGTCATTTGACTCAACCTATAGTTTTCTTTAAAATTGACTCCTATTTTAATAGATCCGTGTAATCCATTAAATCTCAACTAGTTTTTTGTACCCAAAAAATGTTGTAACTAGTTTTCCTTTTAATTTCTTAATTAAAATCAATTACATTTATTTCTTTTTGTGCTATGTTATAAATTTATAAATAAATCTCACATATATACTTTTTTTTATTCCATAAAAAGTTATTTCTATAAAAACGTATGCATTGCCGATATCCTATAAAAACGTCAACATTTTTAAGCACTAAGTCATGCTATAAAGTATAAACAAAGAAAAAATATTTTTTTTTGTGAAAAGAAGAGTAGCTTTTATGAGCCAAAGGAAAATGGAATTGCAAGTTATTATCTTCCACTTGTACGATCAAAAGTGAATGCATACTTAACCTAGACAAGTAAAAATATTACATAGGTGTATCAATATAGTTTACAAAGGCAACATGCAAGCCTCATATGACATCATTCAAGATGAAACCTGGACTGCAAATCCATTCAATAGATGAAAGTAGCTGTAAAGGTTAGTGTATCTTCTTGTGACCAGTAGAGATTCAAGAAAAATTTCATGCTCTTTTCACATCCACTCCTTGTAGCTTTTAGTCTCTTCCTGACTCCTACACAAAGATTGCATCGTCAATTTTAGAAGATCAAGATTAATGACAAAACTAAATTAATCAGCAAAAAGAAGCTATTTTTCGCCTTATCCCCTCTCCTACAAATGAGACATTGTGGCGTGACATTTGCTTCCCCCTTTCAACTCTTCCGAGCATTCAAAAATAAACTGAAGTAAAAGCTTTTGATCTTAAAGCCGATATAGAAACATAGAGAAAAGTGACTTAGTGTCACTTACGGGGAAACAAACCGACTAAAACGGGAGGCAGAGAATGATGTCTAAGCTTATTGTCAAGGGTACAAAAAACTAATGATGTCTAAGAAGAAAAAATAGCTATCAACTCAGAAGTTCAAGATTACCACTACAACACTTCAAAAGCAATAAACTGATGTCTATAATAGCTGAAATGGAACCTACCAAGAGATACTGAAGAAGTCCACTCCACCCTTTCCTAACAGACAGAAAGTTGCAGAACCAGCCTGCTGAAGAAAAGCAGAATGTTGCGCTCCTATAACACAATAGTCAATTGGTACCTGCAAGAGGACAAGCAATAACACTATCATTGAAAAAAGTACTCCACATACAACATTTAACTGAGTATCAAATACCATCTATCTGATATTTGAAAACTATATCAATGAAACTGAGGCATAATTTACAGGAAGACGGTGAGCATAAGGCACAATTCAATAGTGTACAGAAAAAAAAAATTGCACATGAAGAAGAATTTCTACAACAACATAAACTTACGTGAATAGCCAAAAACACAAATAAGATGAAAATAATAGTGTACAGAAAACTAAGATTTACTCCAAAACCCGTATTATAAAAAGGAACAACACCACTCTTTAAGCTCAAACAAAAATTAAAAAAAAAAAAAAGAAACCAAGGGCATGCATCAAATGAAAATAATAAACTTGTCAACCTTACAACTTTCAGAGAACAAGCCCACCAACGAAAAATGCGAATTTCAGCGAGGAAAAACACTACATACATATACTAATAATAGGAGCTTTACTAACAGGCAGATTTCTAGAAACAAAAGACAGTAGAGAAATAACAAATGAGTAATTTCAGAGGCAAATGTGAGGTTTTTCACCAAAACCCTGTCAACAACATCAATTGAGGAATCCAAAAAACAGAATAAAACAGACATAAGAAACTTAACACGTCCCAAAAACAAAAAAAAAATTTGTAAAAGAAACAGCACTCGGGAAATACTATTACATACAATAATACTGTTAAGTTAGCTGTAAATAACATGAAAAAGCCAGTTCTTGAGATTAAATATTTCTGTGTTCCAAATCTAAAATGGATGGGACAAAAGCCCACAAGTATTAACTCATTTCACGATAAAGCAGCAGGCACATATGGAGGAAATTATTCCAATCTGGCAACTTTAAGCCTCAACTTCATATTGTGATTTTCCTGCTTGAATTCAAACAAAATGAAGGGAATTCAAACCACAATTCAGACAACATTCTGAAAATAATTAGAAATTTCTGCATCGTTTCGTTATAATCAACCCGAAAGTAACAATATAAACCACCAAACTCTTTCAACAAAGCACAACAATAGAACCTATCTTTAATGTTTTTTCAGATACAGTTCGAGATTACGAATAGGAAAACAAAGTTCATTGTAGCTTAAGAAAAACAGTTTGGTCTGTGTAAAAACCAGTATCCAGTGTGTATCCTGGTCTGTGTAGAAACCGATTTGCTAACCCCCCCTTCATTTCTCCAATAACAACACATGATATGCAATCTACTGCCACCCCAACTCAAAGCAAAAAGAAAAATAGAAAGTGATTAGCTCAAAAAACTTCTAAAGCAATTGTCAACACTTGGGCAATTGAGAAATGTACAGCCCGTTTCCCAAAAAAAAAAAAAAGCCAAATGTACAGCCTTACTACAACCTAAGACATTTCGACCCAATAAATATCCCACTAAATATAAATAGAAAAGAGCAAAAGCGGTAAGCCCTTTATAAAGAATATACACATAAACCCTCACTAGAAATTCATAGTAGGATACCAAAAAAAAAAAAAAAAAAGAAACCTAGACTTAGAAGTGGTTCCCGCATTAACCCAAAAGTTCTGTAGTTCAGTGCGTATTGAACTTCAAGAATCAACAATTGGAAGAGAAGGTGGGCGAGAATTTCTGGGTGAAGACGAAGAAGCTGACCCCTTTATTTTTGGCGGCACCAACGGAAGAATCAATAGAGATCTCGTTGACTTTAGGGTGGAATACAGCCACTTGAGAGAGGATTCATCGGAGGAGCTCGCCGGAGTCGGATCGACGGGCTGATGATCTGAGGAGCTCGGTGGAGAAACGATGGGCAAATTCTGATTCCAACAAGAAGAGAGAAAGTGACGACGTCGAACTGAGATGAGAGAAAACGTTTGGAGGAAAAAAAGTTTTGGGTCAAACTAACTCAGCCAAATTACTCATATGACTTATTTGTTTTGTTGACCCAACTCAACCCAACCCAAAAATTAGGAATGAGTCATTTGAGTCATGAGTCATTTCACCCATGAGTTAGTATGACCCAACCCAAGTAAGTCAAAGTGATGGATGGGTTGGGTCAAAACTTAAGTTATGGGTCAAGATTGCGAGCTCTAACTCTAAGCAACATGACTAAGATGTAACTGAAACTGGTGATGTAGGTGCTTGTGTAAGTGCAACTATAAGAAAGATAAAGATTGCTATCAGGTTTCAACAAGATGAGAAATTTTGTCTTCAATGGAAAGGGTAATTGGGTATTCATCATACTGGTGCAGCTTCATCTAAACATCACATAATTGAACACACAATAATCGAATTTTATTTTCTCTTTCTGTACATCAATCATGAAAGTTTTAACACTTCGAAAATCTGAAAGTACTCCCGAATAGGACCGATGATATATATGTGGACGACAATATATCCCTCGTTTGTAGGAAACCTTCATAACCAACCATTGATATCTATTAGAACCAATATAATTCTAGTCTCACTAACAAAGAAAAGCTTCTAAATTTGCAAAAAAAAACCTATAAATACGTGATATGAAGTAGGGGGTCACCAAAATAATATCAAAATGCGTATGAACATTTATAGTTTATAAGCCCACAAAATTGATTTATTGATAGTTCCTAATTTGTATGAATATTTCGTATCATTTCCATGAATTGTCTAATATGTGCGTATATGGCATTAATTAGAATAAAATTTTCATTTGTGATTAACATTTTTTTTCAAAGAAATGAAATTAGATGTACATGGCATGAATAATACAGTTCTTACTAATGAATTTCTCAATACATGAGTATGAATATTTGATACTGTACAAAAATTTCTATTCGTTTGAATTTTTGAACAATGTTTATACTATAGACCATAATTTGCAAACTCGCGATCCAGGATCGTAGGATCGGACGATCCTACGATCCCAAGTACCTAAATCGATCCTAGATGAATCAAACTCGAATTTTATAGTAGGATCGGAGTGGGATCGGTTAGAATCGGTCAGGATCGTAAAATCAGTCTGAGTTTACTATTCATCAATTATAAAAATTAATTGAGCTTATTAAGATTTTTTTTGTCTTATTTTTTTTTGGTTCACATTCAATTGAAGCTAATATTCTTTGAGGAAACTTTTATTGCTAAGAAAAATATATTTTAGAAAGTTTTTCTAATAAAATGAAAAGAAGAACTGTAAGAGAAGAGTTTTTATTAAAAAGTTATGCAAAAATTCATAAAAGAAAATTGAATACATTTCTTTTTGTTTAAATGTTAAATACTTTATTTAAAGATAATTGCAATTGCAAATCAAGCAATTAATTATGTAACATGTATAATTAATTTTACGATCTTACTATTTCGATCCCACCGATCCCATTTACGATCCGATCCTGTGACCTCATTTTGATCCTACGTAGGATCACGATTCTATAAACATTGCTATAGACCGTAGTTCATATAGATATGAACTATGATGTCACGCGCCTCAGTGAGAAAAAAAAAAGATAAAATCAAATAATTAATTACTTTTAAAATATTATTGCGTTATTCATAACATTAGAAATCTTATTTATATTCTCATAGCTAAATTCAAATTCAATTCACCTTTCGTTTTGCAAAATTGCACATCGATCATGATACCACCTCTACTTTCACTCTCAATATCAATTCTCAAGAGAAAAGGATGCTGGTGAAATCACCTTCTTAACAAGTGCGCGCGCGCACACACATATATATATACACACACACACACACACACACAGATATATATATATATATATATATATATATATATATATATAGACACAAAGAATAGAGAGTTATTGTTCTTATGTATTCGTTAGAACTTAGAAATTTGTTTATGGTCGTGCCGGTAGGGATCCGTTACTAAACATGTTAAAATTTTGATTTTTCTTAGCTTTTCCTCTAAGCATAGTCATTTCGCCAAACGAGTTCAATGTTAATAAGGTAAACAGCATAAAATGGAAAACGTTCGTGTTAGTGAAAGCTAAAACCGGAATGTAGTGAACGAGAATGAGCATGTGGAATAAAATAAGCCAGACGAGTGCAGTGTCTTTTAATGTATCCTCTGAAGGCATTTCTTAGTACCGGAATGCATTAAACTTATCCTCATAAGACATTTAAAGTGTCCTAAAAAGATGAGAACTTATCATCACATTGAATTAGAGAGGCCCTCCTTATAAATAGTGTGTCGAAAACCTAAATGTTATATTAGGGTGTAATAGAAGGCATTTCTGAATCCCTCAACAAGCCCTTTTGCTCTTATTTTTTATATTATTTTTTTTCAGGAAAAAGATACAAAGGTAAAGTGGGATTATGGGCAGTTAGGGTTTTTTCCTGGACCTCCATAGTAAAAGAAATTTCCCCAGTTACTATTAACTCCAACGTTAATATTGTAGCAAGCTTTATTGGTAGCAATACCGCCGAGATTATTAGGAGGAGATATTAAAGTATTGGCATCATTCACCAGCTGTAGGTTTCGGAAGTAACTTGCTTTGCCCGGCCCTGCTTGCGGAAAACTGCCGCTGCCCATGTCAGTTCCAGTGTGCATTCCGTTAGGGCTCGAGTTTATTATTTCTCCGCCCCATTGCACCAATGATGCGGAATCTTTCAACAGCGTAAATATCGTCGTCGGCCAGTAACCAAGAATCACACCGTTATATTGTAGCCACCACACATTTTGTTTTTGATCCTAAGGAAAGAAAAAAAAGTTGTTATACACGAGTGATCATAGTGATTGATTTGAAATACTTAATCCATGGTTTGTTCTTCCCACAAAAAGTTTGATAATGAAAGAGATAAACCAAGTAAATGACCCTTTAATCTTTCCCTTAGTTATAGCAAGCATTTTACAAGAAAAGGAAAAAAAAAAGAAAGAAGAGAAACACAAAATCTTACATGACTTGAAAACAAAATCCTCACATTTGATGTAGTTGAGAAAATATACTATTTCTGTCCCAAAAAAATAATCCATATTGAGTTTTTAAATTTGTACTAAAAACAGTACAAAACTCAAAACTCAATGTGGAATATTTTTGTGGGACGAAGGGAGTATTTTCTGTAATTAAGCTCTTTAAGAAATAGTTGTTAGTTGTTACAAGTCAGTCCTTTACTCTTAAGAAATAAAAGTTTTACTCTTTCGACATTAGTCTTATCATAAAATCTATATTACATTGTCATGGCATTCGCCTTTACGAAGGATACAGTTGAGCCTGAAAGCGAGGAAGTAGTAATGGTCACATTCATTTTCGATCGTTCTTTATTTTTATGATGGGCCAAAAAGGAGATTTCACATTGTGATTGAGTTTTCGTTGATTAAGTTTTTTTTTTTTTTTTTGAAATCAGCACATAGTGCTATGTATATTATTCAAAAGACGTTGATTAAGTGGAAAGCAGGCAAAGTCAAATATGGTCTTTCATCAATATCAAAATAAAAACTCTTACTTTTTGAGGTTATTTTAATCCAACAAACATGATTCGTTCTTTATGAACTGTATACTACTAAATTTATTATTATTTTTTTAAAAAGAATTCTTATCATTTGAATGTAACATAGACGACTTGAAAACTATTTTTGTTTTCCCCTTTTGTAGCGGAGGTTAATTTATTAAATCAATATACCTTCCAAACGAGTAGTGTAATTTCGGATTGACTGATGGCACCCCCTATTGCCATTTGGTTGTTGGTCTGAACAAAACCCGCGCAACCCAAGTTATAGCATCCAGTCGTCCGATAACCGTCATTCTGTGACGTAATGTTCAATGAATAAAATAAAACTTAAGGAAACTGGGGGGAGAAATTATTCTGTGCAAATTAAATATTCATGGTAGTCCTATTTCTTATAGTATAACATCTATTTTAAAAAATAATGCACATTGAGATTTTTCAAATTTATACTATTTTAAGTACAAATATTAATACTCAATGTGGAGTATTTTCGGATAGAAGGAGCATAATTTAATTCAACGCTAAATTACGACTTATAACAGAATCGGAGAGCGTAGATTATTCATGTTCTTTCGAGTTACTTACAGTCCAGTAAATGAAAAGTCTTGTGCTATTACTTCCTCCATATATCTGCGGGAAGACCTGTAAGCAATTTACCAGTACAAAAAGGAACTATAAGTATCGTAAGACACATAGATTAAAAATTAATCCTCATTCCATTCTTCTTTGTTTACAATATTCATTTAACTATTTCCTGTTCCTTTGAAAATGGGGGGAAGTGCATTTTAAAAAATAACTTGCAGGCCCATTAGAGCGAGTTTATCATCATACATTGTTACATATACTGGTTCATCTTCCTCTGTTATTTGCTTAATATTAGGCTGAATGTAAATTTATGTAATTTTAAAGAGCTACACCCTTTGTTCTAAAAAAATAATAGTCTACATCGAGTTTTGAGATTTGTATTATTTTTAACACAATTTTAAAAGTTTAGTGTGAGTTATTTTGTTTGAGACAAAAGTATTACGGACTATTAAGTAGTATCAAGTCTCTGGGGATCCTTGGGATACAGTGGATCGTCAATTTCTTTTTTTGTTACATTCATAAATAGGAGGACTAAAAGTGTAAATATTTTTTTGACCCTATTTTCTTCCTTTATGAGAAAAATAAAACTAATGCAAAAAATTGTGTTTTAATTTTCATCTCTCCATCATTTTTTATGGAGTTGTTGTTTAAAGATCATACATTTTGTTCCCATTGTGATTCGTGAAACTTCATCAAAAATAATTTAGTCATCCATCAAAAGTAAACTCAGACCCCGTAACCATTGTGATACATGACCATTTGAATCATAAATGCATGTTTGATCACTAGTAAAAGTCTATTACTATTGTACTACAGTTTACAAGAGCAAAAATAATGTCCATTCTAATTGAATTAAAATAATATATATAGAAGTGTCTCCATCATTTTAAACAAAATGATGACTACCATTCTACTGTATACATGATCGTTGACTAATTAAAGAATGGCCATCAAGTAAACCCAAAATGTATCACAATCACACAAATACTAATTGAAAAATAAATTAAAAAAAGGAATAGCCATCCCCATTGTACTACGCACCAATCAGATTACAAAAGAATACTAATCATAAATTAAATAAAAAATCTTCATCGTTGTACCACATGATAATCATCTATTCATCATTATTATCCTTCAATTGTAAAAAGATAGTTCATCAAAGTTATATGCTATATTCATCAATTATTTTTGGTATAATAATGTCTCTTACTTCAAATGGTATACATCAATTAAATTTTTGGGGGTGCATATATCCATCAAGTTTTCGTAATATTACCCATCAAAGTTATCAATTTCTGCCCAATAATTTTTTTGTGAACTGTAAGTCCCGAAAAAAGAAAAATTTATGATGCATTTCATCGGATAGAAAAGATATAATCAATTTCAAAACTTTACGATTTTTTTTTCAAGCGAATTTCAACAATTGCAAGTTAATCCCTATTTTTATTTTAAATCAAAATACAAAAAGTTCAGGTCATAGTTCCGAATGACTTACGTGCCAACCGACTTCAATAGTATTGAGAGTTGAACCCCAGCCGGCTACAATCCAAAGTTGAGACAAACTGAATTCTCGTGAACCCTCTACGTATGGTTGCCATACGTTTATGATTGCTTTTGTTCCAAAGTATTTGCCCGTTGGTGTTTGTGTATACGCATACTAATAAATTAGCCAAGGAAAAAGAAAGATTAAAATCCTAATTAATATTTGTCATATATAGGTAAATCAATTTCCTAGGAATAAATTATGAAGAGATTACAGCAATTCCATGTTCATTACACTTCCACTCATATTCAAGTTACAAGACATAAATTTTTCAGTGTTATCTTAGTACTTCATATAATCCATTTTGAAATTCCTTTGTAAATTTTTTTTTTTGATCAAATGTAAAATTTATTTTCTTGTTCTATAACCATCGCCTCCAACGACTACATTTAATTTGCTGACTAATTGCCTAATATAGTTATGTGTATATTTTATTAGGAATAATTTGAATTACACAAATTCAAACTTTGATCAATTCTTTTCAAATTTAATTAATTATTTGTGTCTCGTCAATAGAATCACATGCACATCAATTAATTAGTACCTCGTGACGAAGCTGGACATCGGCATCGGTGCTTATTGAACTAGAAAAAATCGGTTTCTTCTTTGTCATGGATGCTGCTCCATTTTCTGTTCTTCTAATAGGAATGGTTCCTTCCGGGCATTCTCCGCTCAATTGCCATATTTGCGGAACCTTCTGCTTTTTACCATTATTTGATCCTTCTGGATGATAGCTGGGCGCGACCTACAGAAAACAAATTGAAAAATGTCTTAATTACTATTAGTCCTAAGGATGGTTATCCATGCGAATCTAAACCATTTGTATTTTCTTTTCTTTTTCTTTTATGCAATCGAGCATGCATGTCCCCTAAAGTTCGTTAGAGGGCGATTTATCTTCCCCTATAATTTACAAGTTATGGCCCAGGTTATTGCATTGAGTGCGGAATCGCTCTCAATAAATGCATCACAATTTCATAGTGTTATCATAAATTTTTTTATACTATATTCTTTTCATCTCAGAAAGATAATACAATAAAATAATTTATTTTCGGAGAAAGGATAATTTCCTTGAACAGGCACACTGGTTTTGGTACATGGATTGCGCATATTTATTATACCTTGATGGTGTGATCTTTGAGCAATGGGTGGTCGAATGCTGGCTGATGATAGATATCCACACAGTCAATCACGTCCCCGTCTTGGCTCTGCCATGGATGTGGATCATTAATAATAAATAAAAATGATGTATCAGAGATATATACCCAATCAAAACACAAAGAAAAGTAATCATGGGTCGTTATCCCATTATTAAGTGGATTAGGTAGAAGATGAACCATTTATCGGTCAATCGATACTTGAAATTAATTTACTACAAAAATTTAGAGTCAGCCTGAATTTCACATCTAAAAGATACGAAGTGAGTATAAATGATGCTCTCTCCATCCTATAACGCAAAAGAAAAAAGTAGTGTTTACCTTAATGGACTTGACAGTAAATTTGTTCATTGCTGCATGGCTCAGTATGATATTGATGAACAAAAACATGCAAAATAACACTATCTTAAACTCCATATCTTCACAAAAAGTTGAGTTCTCTCACAAACTGATGAACGAAGCTTAATTTAGAAGAGAAGCTAGTTAATGGAAAGCAAACGACTTAAAATGTAAGAAAGATGTGTTTGTAATTGGTTAGCATCAATTGTATTTAGCATCTATTTATAGGCAAACAGGAGAACGATAAAATTCAGTGTATTACTGAAATTTTGAATGGGTAAGCTGTGCATCGTTTTCAATTATTATGATTTTATGCTCCAATATAGGTGTGAAACACCAATATGTCTTCCTGAAATGATGTGGTTCTGGAAATACTAGTATTATTGGCGTCCAAACATGAAATAAAAGTCATACATAATAATAGAAGGTTTTTATGTACCAAATAACAAAAACTAATAAACAAAATTCGTAGCTAAATCTAAACTATACACTTAACTTTCAACTAATGAAGACTGAGACTAGCCATATGAACGAACTCTAGGGTTAATGTAACCGTGTGTAAATATGGAAGATTGGTTTAAGTGTATACAGTAAAAGAAGGTGACCATTTTGTATAAGATATTTATTTTTTCCATTATTTAGTCACCTCTTCGTATAATTATGAGGTTAGATTTATTGCTATTATTCCGTATACAGTAGGAGGAGGTGACCATTTTGTAAGCTATTTGTTTTCCATAATTATATTACATTAATCATCTACCTTGCATTCATCAATCATTACCCTTCTTTTTTTCCCCTTTTCAGATCAACAACTTTTTTTTTTAATAAAGGTTTGTGGGCAAGTTACTTAATTGGTTTGATATGCAAAAATTAAATTTATAAGAGGTCCAGGTAGACACTGTCACTGGTGGATTATTCTTGCAACATTGATGTTTCATGTCTTCACTGACAAACCAGCTTATCTCACGCGTTCTATGGTAATAAAATTTAGAAAAAAGTCCTAATCAAAGTTCTTGCAACAAAGAATGTGAGTTGGAGTAGCATATGAAAGTTGTGATTTACTAATAAATACTTCAGAGGATATGATGATGCACTTTCACCTTTATGTTTCTTATGTTTGCGTTGTAACAAAACTTTTAATAGTGCAAGCCTATCGAATTTTATTGAAGAAATTATGTGTTATATTCTATAAAATATATTGGTCGGAATTTGTAAAAACACTGCTACGATTTACATACACTTAAAATGAGTTTAGCGATTGTTTACTATGACAATAGTTTAATTGCGTCTACTGAACCCAGAGTGTATTTATTTAATACTCCAATTAACCACTTTGCCTCCTTGCTTTGTATCCAAAAAAAAGTTTTACTGTAAACCAAAAAAAGGAAAAAAGTTTATAGAAACTTTTTTTGTAATATTTAGTAGTATTTCTATTGTTATTTCTTTTTATGCGGCTGTTTAGTTAATGAGTGCAATTGGTGGCAATCAACCCTGAGGTCTAGCACAAATTATGAGTAATGTCTTTATTAACACGTAAGATAACTTTTTTTTAGTTTATTACTTCATCCATCCTAAAATGATAACTTTATTTTAGTTTATTACTTCATCCATCCTAAAATGATTTTTTCGTGTTTATTTTAATTTTAGTACATATTAGACCAAACAAGAAAATCCAAAGAGAATAATTATTTTGGATAGATTAGTAATTAATTATAATTAATGTATCATACCGTGTATAGGTTTAACCAAAAAAAAAGAGAAAGTCGCAACCTTCCTGGTGAAAAACAATGTCTAAACTTAATTATAAAGGTAATTTAAGGTTTTTTTTTCACAAAATTAATTAGCGCCGATGAAAATTAACCCTTTAATTGTCCTTATCGCTTGTTTTAATGGTCCATTAGTTTCCAATTTCCAGGAAAGCTTCCAAGTCCCAAAGTCGTGGGGCATAATTCCATCCATTTTTATTAGCACGTCTTATTATAGAGTCTTAGAAGACGAAGACTTGTTCTATCAGTATGAAATTGGTCAACGTTTCCATCAGTAATGACTTGTTCTTTGAGAAATTATTTTTGGCAATAAAATTGTTATACTCCATATGTCCCAAAGTTATTGTCCAGTTTGAGATTTCACTATTACAGAATTTGAACTAAAAATGAAAACTCAAACTGGACAATGATTATAGGACGGAGGGAATAATTTCATTTTCTCATTTTTCCTAAAATGAAATAAAAAAAGAATAAAATTCTTAAATTAGAAGAAATTATTCTTCTGGGAATGGTGCTGGAAGGTATAATATGTACCCTAATTCTGAGAATCTAACGTGAAAAAAAAAAGAATATTTATTTCCTATTTCTCCTCATCTTTTGTCTAAGTCGAAATCCTAGACGAGACTAATCAACTTTTAAGATATTACTACCGGAGCATATTTCCATGGACTGAAATGTTTTCCAGCAATCAACGCCAACATTTTGGAAATATTAGCCAGTATTATTCCAAAGTAGGATGTGGATTGGTGTCTTCATCAAACCTTAAATTTTTTGTCGGTATAACACAAGTCTTGCGGTTGTTTCACGTTAACAATTTTGCCAATCAATTTTATTAGGCATTCCACCGTAATAAGAATACGTCCACGAAGTCGAGCTAGCTTCAACTTATAAAATTTTGCCAATCAATTTTATTAGGCATTCCACCCTAATAAGAATACGTCCACGAAGTTGAGCTAGCTTCAACTTATAAAAGACTATGTGTTCCATCTCAAAACTAATTGACAATAATGGGAATAGCCTATAGTGCTTATAGGCTGATATAAAGTGTCTTGAGACACCAATGTGTGATAAATATTTCAACATTCTCCCTCAAGGCTGGGAGTAAATTACGAGGGTCAGAATTTAAACCGTGGAATAACATCACGGGCCACGGAATAACTTTGCGGACTTAAATTGGGCCACTGAATAACATCGTGAGCTTAAAATTATCACGGGCCGAGCCCGCTCTGACACAATTTAAAAGCCCATGGGATTCTACCTCAAAATTAATTAGCAATGAAGAGAGTAGCTCGTGGTGTTTATATACTGAGTACAAAGTGTCTCCAAACACCAATATGAGATAAATATTTCATGCTTGAAAGCTTGATGCATTCCCATTTTGCTTTTCTCTTCAGCTATTATGACTTGTTTACTATCTCAACATCGTCCCAAAATAAATCTCCACTTTTGTACATTGTTTTTAGGTAAACGGGGAGAATTAATGTTCATTCTACTGAGCAAAAAAGTTTACTGGTGTGCGCCCTTTTAACTTTCTCATCAAGTCTCATCTAATTTCCGTATCTTCGCTTCTGCGTATTAGTTCATCTCTTCCGCTTGATTACAAATTGAATTTGATGGAGTTAAGATTGTATTGACTGAAGAGGGTTGAATGATTAAAATTTCCTTAAACATGTTAATCTCTCCATGAAAAAAAAAAGAAAATAAAAGAAAAAAATACTACATTTTCAGCTGAAGTAAATTATTCAACACGTACATGAGGGTCAACTCGTGCCTTCAAACCCGTAATCAGCAGATATAATTGGACTTCCAGAAAAAGAAAAATAAAAAATATCTTACTAAATTCTAGCTTCCCCCTTTGTATAGACAAAAATTCGAACAAGTACAAGGAATATTTGATATTGTAATTCGAGAACCCTCCTCTGCGTGCGCATATGTGCCGCATTGCTAGCGACATTTTTGAAAAAAATGTCTAAAATTTACGATGCCATTTACCGTGACACTGCAACGATCGACTGACATGTTTTGTGCCGCAAAACATGTTTTGTGACATTTTTGTCGAATTTTGCGACACGATTTCTCTGCTGCTATGGGCCATTTTCTTATAACATTGAGTAAACCGGATCTCCGCTTTCATATATGTCCTTAGCTGATTTAATTTAAAACGCAATGAAGCAGCTTTACAAGAACTCAATGATTCAGCAGTCTCAAATTAATTAAGGGGACCAGCCTCAAATTATTTGTAATATTGAGTAATACTTTTTCTATTTTAAAATGCTACCTCTACTTTTTTAACCTGTCGCTAGTAAACCCAACACTTTTATTTGTTGCACTTTATTAAATTTAAACATATGCATAAATCTTACCTTTTCCGCCTTCATTTTGCATAAAATCTCCTCGAAATAATGTCAAAGGGAGGAGGAGATTTATTTTTATATTATTTTCTGGAAAATTCTTATTTTTTGCACTTGTGGTCTTTATCACATTTTTTTCCTCTTTTTCAAATAACTTTCTATTATTTACTTTCAGTCCCTCTCAATACTTTCTTTCTCCTTAAAGTATCCAAAATCGTCAAACAAAATTATCTCTTAATCCATAAAAATTAGAAAAACTATATGTATAAAATTTATAATACTTGATGAGATCTATCGAAAAAAAATCCCTATTGAAAATCTTTTTTGAACGTTGAAGTGATTAAAATTTTTCGGGCAGAAATGAAGAAGTTGTATATTCGTTTAAACTCTCTCCTCACATACGCCCACTCTTTACACATACTCGCTCCAATATTTATGCCGAAAAAAAAGGATTGGTCTTATATTCACTGTGCCGCACATGTGGTCATACACAAATAGCCGAAGACTACTGATAAGTATCAACTTATGCATGTTTTTAGACACATATTTTACCTCTTTTTGCTTAAAATTAGGGTAAATTATATTAGCATTTTGTGTTTATAGTTTAATTTGGTGATTTTTGGTGATCCAGAGACTTATTTGCAAAATCCATGAAAAGGTGGACGAAATGTGGCAATTTGATGAAGTTCTAGTGTCAATTGAAAATGGCTTATTGGACCCGGTGGTGCAAATTCTGGGATGAGTTGAATCCGGCGGGAAAAGGAGCTGTAAAAGGCAAAAAAATCAATCGATTCTTCAAGGCTAAGGCAAAAGAAGCATAGAGGAAGTCATGTTGCTGCTGTCAATCAAGGGAAGTCGTGCTTAAAAACTGAATTAATCCACTAAAACTTTCCCAAAAAGGTGATTAGAGGTGATGAGGAAAGTGAGAATGGGTTTGGGTTTCTTCATTTTGGTTTAATCC